AGGGTTTACGGTTTAGGGTCTGTGGGAAGAGCAGAAAATCCTGTTGGTTCATTTTCGTTTGCTACTTGCCAGGCATTCTGCAGGTTCACGGCAGCATCCCACAAAGCATTTGGAACCTGGGCAAACAAATAGCTGCAACTTTGTGCTCGCAAAGGGTCTGAGGGCCCAAGTCTCGCTCTAAGGACTGCTACCATTCCTCACCTTACTTCACTTGCTTTCGTCTTCTTCTGGCAGCGGATCCGCGGAATGCTGTATAAGGCTCAGCTGACCTTTTTTGCGGGAACTCTGCATCCCCCGAGCACATGAGCCTCGGCGCGCCAGTTTGCGGAATCTAAGAGGAGCCTTAGTGCACTCCAGAAAGTTTGTGGCAATCTGCTCGAAGAAGTACTTCACGCGCTTCATGTGCATGTTTGAGATCATCAACTTTCTGCAGCAGCCTGGTGGAGAAGGTGATATGCTGGTAATGTCTGAAGAGATGGCTTGGCTGTTCTTCGTGTTCTACTTGAACAATCATATTTTGGCCATCGGTTTCTATGCCTTCGCAGCTTTTGGGGATTCGGAGGGCAAGAAGAGTCTGACAGCCGCAACTTGTGTTGGCGCAGCATGTCTTGGCTTGGCCTTCGGACTACTACCCTATCTGTTTTCCTTGGGCATGGCTCTGCATAGGAGTGCGCAGCAGATCCCATCTCAGATTCGACGGTTCCGCATAGAAAGCGCTACCTGCATCTGCTGTGACTTACAGCACCAGCACCCACTGAGTGGCATGCCGCTGATGTGCGACAAGGACCAGGTGCTCCACGGAATGGCAGAGGAGTCTTTCAGTGGTGCAAAGATGCTCACGGGCTTCAATGCCATGGTGCGAGAACGAGCGCCCACTCTAGAGCGACTGGCATCAATCACTGTGTCTCAACCCATGCTCGAACTGCTAAGCACCTGTGTGCTGCCATCGTTGCCTCGGTACCTGTAGTCTGCTTAGGCATTCTGTTTAATTTTTGTTCTGGCATAATTATAGGCAAGAGTGAAAAAAGGATGTTTTTTATAGGTCTCAGAAGATTGCAGGTACATTCTACTCTGGTGGCTGGGTCCTACCGAGCCGTTGGCTTTTTGGGATCTCCAGGCAGCACAGCAGCAAGATCAAGAGTCCCTAAGTTGAGCCATTTCCCACAAGTAAGCGGTAATGGGGATGTATTGGGATAATGG